CCTCGGTAAGAAAGTTATGAGGATTGCTTATTGGAATGCACACGCGCGCGCCTCAACCGCCGACGATGATTCTAACCGGTAGCTGCAGGTGCAGGAAGTACCGTGAAATGGCGATGCGGATGGGCGAAATGCTTGGATTTGTAAAAATGGATCCAAGAATTAAAAGTATTGTTTCTCTTTTGATTCTGGATTTTAAAATTTTATTTTTGTTTTTTTTTTTTGGAAAAATAATTGGATTTTATTATACGTTGCACAAAAAATGAAATTTGAAGATTTGGAGATAGAGTGTTTTTGTGACTTGCGTTGATTTTTGAAAATGGAATTTGAAATTTTTTTTCCTTTTCTTTCCCTTTTTTTGGAAGAAAAAATATAGAAAAGATAATTGAATTTTATTATTCGTTGTGTGAAAAATGAATTTCGAATTTGAAAATTTAGAAATAGAATGTCTGTATTACGAGTCTCATTGATTTTTGAAAATTAGAAAATGGATCGATGCTGGATGGATTGATCGAGAGAAATTCATTTCGGAATCGACGCACACGGTATCTTCTAATCGTGATCTATCGCGTGCCATCACAGCGATAGCATGTGATTGACGCTGTATTAATACGTTTCCACGTTAATTGAATATCTATCATACGTCGCAATAAATCCCAATTTGTTAATTTGACAGAATTAAATAAGAAAGAAATCTTAAGGTTCCGTAAGTGAAATTATACGGCACATTGTAGGATAAAATTCATACAAAGAAAGCGGTAGCAGCCGGTTTTCTTACGCGTTGCATAGTAGCGAATGCATATATATATTTCTGTCAAATCAAGCTTCGACGAGAAAAGATATATTATACGCACGTATATTTCACTAATCAATTTATGCGACGCAAAATAAATAATAAATTTCACATACACGTTCATAGTTTCCAAAGATATTTTTCACGATTACAAACGTGACCTTTTTTTCTTTTATCCACTATAATTCATTATAATAATCCGATAAGAGAAAATTGCAACGAAATTACTTCCTTAATTTCTTCTTAAATTCCTACTTCTCTTATGCAAAACAATATCCATTCCATCGTGTCTCATCACGATCCGTCTCTAATCCTCTGTAATACCGAGCGCTCGACAAAGTATCAAAAGTACATACCGTGGTGTTCATAAATCTCTCAAAAGAGGCCGAGGCAACAGTGTGTTCAACACGACGAATCGAAATCGTCGCGACAGGATTTTTAATACGAACAGTTTCAGATCAGTCGGAGGAGGAGCGGCTCGGTTGGGTAGTTCTCATGCCGCATTGAGCCCCGCATTGATCAGGAGACGTGGCGCGTTTCGAGGCGTCCTTAAAGGCGGCCACACACGTCGCGATCTCGATACTCGTTGTCTTCTCTTTCACGTCCACGCGGTGCCGCAGTGGCCATCAGGGGTTAAACCAAAGGCTGAGCTTTGTCACCGTTGCTGATCTTCAGCCTCGTGTCTCCTCTGTACTTACAGCCATCCGAACCAACGGCTAATCCCAATTTAATGTCGCGTTTCTTCCCTTCTCTACCCTCCCTCTCCCATTCTCTTTCTCTCTCTTCCACGATCCGCCCGTGTCGCGTTTTTCTCTTTCTACGAAGCGATCGCTGCGCCTCCGTGTACCTCGTTTATCTCTCGGCCCGGCTCGTGAAGAGAGCTCCTCTCCTAATGGTTCTCGAAATATCGTTACATCGGTTTAGAATGTTCCTCTGGTGAACAGGGGATCCTCGCGGTACTACGTCGGGTCTGTGAAATTAATTAGGAACTCGGCCAGACTTCGAATTGAATTTTTGATCGGCCGCGATTGAAGAAGGGCGCGATTTTGAGATTTTGTCGGGAAGAAGATAAGGATCTTTCAATATTTTTGCGATAACGAAGCTTTTCTTCTCGCCTCTGGAAGTGATAATTATAATTTCTTTTCTTTTGGTTTTTGAAATAATTTTAAATGGATGAAGTTAGCAAAAGTGGCAGTTATTGATTTTTTATTGGTCGTAGTCTGTCATTGTTCTTCGATCATCTTTTTCGCAATCATCGATGAAGAGGGTTTTTTGAGAATCGAACGTGAACGATCCTCGATCTAATCTTTCGAGGAGGTTTGATTAAAAAATTGTTACGTAGGTGGCGCGTTCTTTTACATCTGCCACTCCTTGTTAGGTAGGATTCGTCATACTTTGATCTACATTCATGATGAGTAATATATAATTTTTATATGTGCGAATAAAAGCTTCGTGCAGATTAATTGTGCGAAAAATTTAATTAATTTTAAATGAAATATTATTGTGAAAAAGTTCAATGTAATTTATTTAACTTTTTAAGATTGATATTGATATATATATTAATATGAAAATAATATAATTTTTACGATTGGTATACAATAATAACTTTTTCAATATCATAATCTAGGTACTATCCGCTTAATATTACATTCTTGATTCATTGGAATTTCTTCAGAAGATTGTCCAATAATTAGGTCAAACAGCAATTTGCTCGTACACAATTCGATTCGCAACAGGATGCATTCCTCGTTCCACGCGAAGAATGACGTTTCACGGAATTTCCCAATGAACATTCTTCTTCTTCGAAGAATTCCTTATGGAATTGTTAAATTTAAATCGTAGATACTGGAAAATTCCTTGCGTTTAGATTATGCCGATGAAGGGAATTCGATTTCTTCTTCCTTCTCGAATTACGCGAGAAGAATCCGTCCTAGAATTCGTGATTTCCTTACGACTGCATTATCTCATCTTATTGCAAATATTCATTGCATCTGTTTATTAAATTTAATATCAAAGTTCATCATCATAATTATATTATAAGGTAGGAAAAAGAAACCAATACAAATTTCCAATTCAACGATTGAAAAATTAATTGCAAAAAATTATTTGCATGAAATAAATGAAATAAATGCTTTCATATATTTTGCTAAATTCTATTTAAGTTTTTGTTTATTTATTTTTTGAAATAATTTTTGTAACACTTTCGATTAAACAAAATTTGTTTCTTTTCTGTTACAGGTAAGAAAACCGTCATCCATTCGCAAAATAATATTCATTTACAATACTCATTCCATCGAGTTTCCTGGCTCCAAGGTAAAAAATTATTTTCTCTCCATTTACGAACAATCGAATTCCCGTTGAATCACGCATGAAAACAATACGCAAATGTGGGAGGATTCGAAAAAGTAAAATTCAGCGAGAGGTGGATCACGATGATAGAGAGTGTTAGCAAATCGTGAAATTAACTCTTCTTGTATCGTTAATGACATGGTTGTGTGATGTCGTGTGATGTTGAATAGCGATGTTATCAGGAATAACGTAATTATCATGTTGCTTGGGGGCCTCGGCCTAATGATGAAGCATCTTCGTTTTACTCTCTCGTAACTCACTGACAATTTTCATTTGAACGTTGCTCTGAACCTTGTTTAAAGCTCTCTTAATTAACGTTGCCTAAGTGCATGCTACGTCACTTGACGTGAAACTTGACGAAGAATTTTTACAGCGGTCTGATAATCGTAATGTTGTTGTTGAATTACTGTTAATGGTATTGTAGATAAATTGTAATTGTTAGTTGAAATATCGGTAGATAAAATCGAAACCTTGGATATTTTATCGTCCAAGAAATAATTTAGAAGACGTTCTACTAATTATGGTTAAGTAAAAATAAAGTATATAAGGATGATTTATCTCTTGAATGAACAGTCGTAAATTAATTTGTAATTTTTAGACGTTTCCATATAAAGTACGATACAGAACGACTTATAAATCTTTCTTTTTATTTTGACATTCGTATAACGTTATTTAACGTTAGAAATAATAGAATAGAAATTTCATTTTTCACACAAAATTTTAATTTTTTTACTTCCACTCCTATATCTTATCTATTCAAAAACTAATTAACGAATAATCCAAGAAAACAAGACGCAAAATATTACAAAGATAAGAATAATCATCTTGAGACTGTAACTTTAAAAAAAAAAAAAAAAAGAAAATTGTCACGATAACTGCACATTCCCGTTATCAAGTTATGTTCATCGATGTGTATACGTAAAAGATGATCTTCCAGGATCATTTATATCGATTCCACACGGTACGGAGTCAGATATATTCTGCACACGTTGAATCTAATGCACGAACGACATGTTATCACCAACATGCACGGAATCGACGCCGGCCTTAATTATGTGCATTAGCGCGATCATCATTCTCGTTATTATGTGGTGTACTGAACGTCGGAGCATGTTGTAGCACATGGGTTCGAGGAAGATCGTCATTAATATACCAGTAACCAGACAGCCTTGTAGCACCGTGCATTTTCGACAATCACCGCGATAAATCAATTGGTTGTTGATATTTAATTGCGGAAATTTACTTCTGCAAGAAGTGGAAGGATATTTCGATGAATATATGAGTTATATTCGCGAGATCGCTTGTTCTGTTCCTTTCAAACTTATTGAAAGAATTAATTATAATTCCTTTTTCTGACTTTTCACAATCGTTGTAGTTGTTTTTTTTTTTTTTTTTTAGATTTTT